GAATAGGAGCTCCCTTCCTCATGGGCATAACTGAGTATGGGTGTTGTAAGCAAGAGTAGGCCTAGCCCAATCTCTCATACATGAAGTTAATCATCCTGGTCCCACGTATTGTCGCCGCCATAGGACCCGCTAGCAAAGTGTGAGCATGCAAAAAGGAAGGTGGTGGTTGTGCACTTCATTTCGGTGGAGGTCGATTTGGATGGTTCACAGAGGCATGGGGGCAGCGGCGTTGCTCGGCACACCTAGGTGCGGCGGGGATGGTGGAGTTGGGAGGTCTGACAGCATCCTGTGTTGGAGGTCATGTTGTGCAGCGCGCATGAATGCTCGAAGCTTGGGCGGTGATGTGTGCGGGTTGGTTGTGGGTTGTGAAGGGCATATCTGTCGTGCAACGGAGGTTGAGGTGTGCGTGACCACTGGGTGCATACACTCCGGGTTGGAGGTGATGTGACGTTGTCTGTTCTGTCTACTTCGGTTGTATGAGCAGTGGGACAACGAACGCGGAGTTATTTACGCAAAACCACCACACTTGGAGCTAGAATAACAATTTGATACCAGATTTTTGCCAAGCCACAAAAACCCACCATAATTGCGCCTAATCCATAACACGGAGCACTGATTGTCGAATTTGCTCGCGAAAATAGTCGTTCTGGCCTATTGGGCCCACCTGTCGGACTGACGTGTCGAGGGCTAATCCGAGTAAATATTTGACCCGCTGAGGTGGACGGGGGACCCACCAGTCAGCCACTCATCTTCTTTCTCCTATTTCTTTCTTCTTCCTCGTGTCTTCCCTCCCCTACGATAGCTAGTCCGAACTCCGAAGGCAACCGTACGGGCCTATTGACGGGTGGTGGCCAAAGGGAGGAAAGGGAGGAGGCGCGGGAAGTGCCAGCCGGCGGCGGCCGCGCCGCTCTCCCATCCGGCCCATCACCCAAACTGCTGCCTCGTCGCCACCCATGGCGTCCGCCGCCTCCGCCCCCTCTATCTTATTTGTATTCGGCGGCGGCGGCCGCGCCGCGCGTCCATCTGGCCCGTCGCCCAGGCTACTGCCTTGCCGCCACCCATGGCGTCCGCCGCGGCCACCTGCACCTATGCGTCACCCAGGTCCGAGTCCACACCGCGCCGGAGGTGGAGCGTCCCAGGCTGCATCAGGTTCCAGGCTCACACGACGTATAGCTCACCCAGGGCCTTGCCGCGCTGCTCGTGCTCCGGCTCACTGGCGCGCTCGCGAGGGATGTCGCCATGGTGTTGTTGGAGTTCATCGAGATGCTCCGGACCATGCACAACACTTGGGGGCCGGTGACGATCCCCGTCCTTCCCGAGAGCAGAGCACACACGGTGACGTCTGCGGCCAGCAGGAGAGTACTCAGGGCGCGGGAAGCACGCGGCTGCTCTCCGGCCGCCCAGAAGGTGTTCGGTGGAATGCCCCATTGTAAGATTGATGTGAAGAAGAAGACCTTCCAGTCCATGACAGGTGGGGACCAACTCTCATTTGCCACATCAGTTGGTCAAATTTTTGGTCTTCGCCACGTCAGCCTGACAGGTGGGCCCAATAGGTCAGAACGACTGTTTTCACGAGCAAATTCAACAATTAGTGCTTCGTGTTACACATTAGGCGCAATTTTGGTGGTTTTTGTGCCCTGGCATAAATCTGGTATCAAGTTGTTACCCTGGCCTCAAGTGTGGTGGTTTCGTGTAAATAACTCACGAGCGCGGCTGGGGCGTTCATGCTCGGAGCTTCGAGCCTGGATGGCGGCTATTGCCAAGGTGCATCTCAGATCCGGTTGGATCGGGACCGTGCAGGCTGGCGGTCGCTGCTCTATTGGCGGTACGACTGGTGTTTTGTTGTTGGCCGTGGTGCGACAAGGTCGTGCGGTGTGGTATTGCTTGTGTTGTGGGCACAATGGTGTTGTGGTCTCGATCAGGGTCCAGGTGGTGCCGACATCGACTCCAGGGTTCCTCCTTGATGTTGTGTGACTGTGATGTCCTGCTTAGTTCAGTGTGGTTTGCCACCAATGAGTACAAGCGGAGCCACGACTTAGGGGGTGTTTGGTTGAGAAGCCCTATGACTTTTTTTAGTCCCAGGGACTAATCAAAAAAGACTCTTTAGTAGAGTCTTTTTCTAGTCCCTGTAGAAAAAGTCCCTCCCGTTTGGTTCCTAGGGACTTTTTATGGACTTTTTCTAGTCTCTCGGACTAAAAAGTCCTTGAACCAAACACCCCCTTAGTCTTCCACGTTTGTAGCAGCTGGCCCCATACACAGTGTATGTTAAGGTGGCGAGGAATAAGGTTTTGGGGGAAAGATTTGATTGACGAGGGTCATTACTGACGATGATTAGAGGCATTATCGGAGGGTATTTTTTCAACATTGGTACGTGCCCGTCGAAGTGTGGCAGCGTTGGAGGTTGTTGACATGGCTGGACATTACCAAAGGTTCGATGGGGTTGGTCAAGCACGGTTCGGGCGAAAACTTTGTGGTTGATGATGGTCGATGCGGACGACGACATCGTCCATGGGCGTCGTTTTCCTTCTTGAAGCCACTCCAAAGATCTTGCTCTCAAGTCGTCTTCGGTGGTGGTGGTGGGTTTAGGTCGTTATCGGTGTTGTGTGTTTTTCTTCTTTTTTTTCTTATGTATATGATGTGGTTCGCCTTAGTTTTCCTTGGAAAACTAGAACATTAAAGTGAGCTGTAGCTTAAACCGGGCCGCGTGTGACTCGAGCTAGTATATTGCAGTGCAAAATTGCTGAAAATCATGTGTCTACCTAGCCATGTACTACTAGTAAGCAGCAGACGGACACACACTTGTGTTGCAACACGGCTCGTGTGTTTTTGCCGTCGAACAGTATCAACGAGCAGACCGTAACGTTTTTGGCGATCCTGGCTGTCGAGCCAGCCGGCTGAAGGGCTGGAGCAAGGACGGCCATCCGATGACTGAAACTGTGTCCATGTCTGAAGAAATTGACACTTTCGTCAGTTAACTGGAACAGGGTCCGGCCGCTGCATAGAGCCCCCGGCGCCATCACCATGTACATGTAATCGACCACCACAGACTCCCCTCCTCATGCCGAAGGCCGTGCGTACCCTCCCCTTGGTCGCCAGCCTCGTAAACCGATAGCTGAAAACTGAAATTAAGAAATGGAACAGAGAAACATCTTTGCAAATTCAGAATCGTTGTCAGCAGAGTTTAACAGAAGGCCATACCCTGATACCCACAAATCAGAACGGAAGTTGCAGATTCAGATCTCACACAAACAGGATCATAGCATGAACTCTGTCAAGTGAAGCGACGGGGATAAGAACTGAACATGATAGAGAGCCATGACACAGATCAAAGAAGCACCATAACTATTTCATGAGGTAATGAAACAATGTGTTCCCACAGAACCAACGCAAGTTACAAGGCGACATGGTCTGAACAGCCGACTGTTACAGAGAACCATCCTAGCCTAGGAGGAGGTGAACTTGGTGACTGCCTTGGTGCCCTCGGAGACGGCGTGCTTGGCGAGCTCGCCAGGGAGGACGAGGCGGACGGAGGTCTGGATCTCCCGGGACGTGATGGTGGGCTTCTTGTTGTAGCGCGCCAGCTTGGCGGACTCGCCGGCGAGCTTCTCGAAGATGTCGTTGATGAAGGAGTTCATGATGGACATGGCCTTGGAGGAGATGCCGATGTCCGGGTGCACCTGCTTCAGCACCTTGAAGATGTAGATCTTGTACGTCTCCACGCTCTTCTTGGACTTCTTCTTCCCCTTCTTCTCACCGCCCTCCTTGGAAGCCGGCGGCCGCTTCTCGGCCTTGGTCTTCTTCGCTGTCGTCGTCTTCTCGGCCTTCTCCGCCACCGGCTTCTTCTCCGCCTTGGGGGCCATGGATGCCGCTGCTGCTGCTGCTTCGACGAGGAGAGGTGTGGTGTTTCGCTGGGAGGCAGAGGAGGATTGGTGGGGAATCGGCGGCGACGGCGCGGCAGAGTTTATAGGAGGGGACAGCAGGCTCTGATTGGTGGAGGGGTGCGTGCCACGGATCGCTGTGTCCTCCAGTGGTTTAATACGATCTCAGCCGTCCGACGCTTTGCGCGATGGGCGCCCCGGATGCGCCTCGGCGCGGATCGCTGACGTGGCGAAGACATGGGTTTCCGCCCACGCCCGCTGACGGAGGACCAATTGGGCTTTTTCCGTGACGGCAATTTTGAATTCAACTGTTTTTCAACTTTTCCCTAAAAAAAACTGTTTTCCACTTGTTTTTCGATCGTACTGTATGTCTGAAAAAAAAACTGTTTTCCCTTCGACTTTTTCTGTGCTGGATTTGGCCGAGGTCATGGGCCTCTTGGGAACGGATCCTCTAACATCACAAAGGGATGTCACGAAGCTACAGAGTAAAATCCAGTGCAAAACAGAGAATGGATGCCACGATTACTGTAGCGCTATGTACTGTAGACAGTTACTGTTCATAGAAAATAAATCTGAAATTGATTTTATTGCACCACTTTTATTTGTATCTAATTTTTGTAAATATATATAGTAGATTTGTAATTTGCAAATTAATTCAAGTCATTTTAGCCTTAATCATATGGATGTGAAAAAGGGATGTCAGGGTACTGTAGCTTCCCTGACATCCCTTCTTGATGTTAGAGGATCTCGTTCCGGGCCTCTCCGTGCAACTGGTTTGAAGGTGTGATACGAGAAGGAGATGTGATTAGCTAGCCAAGATGGTGTTTATGATGTGTTGCTTTTCCAACTGCTTCAAAGGATTACACAAGTAATTCACATCCCAGCACGCGTTGCGGCGCTGGTTCTGTCCCGGCACAGGTCTGTTGCCCTGCAAGGTTCTGTCCCGCGCTCCTTTAGCAACAGTGCCATCTTTAAAGACGGGATGAGGCATCCTTCCTGATGGCGACGGCACAACGGAACTCTCAATGAAAGCACCAATGTCGGTGTCAAAACCGGCGGATCTCGGGTAGGGGGTCCCGAACTGTGCGTCTAGGCGGATGGAACAGGAGACAAGGGACACGATGTTTTTACCCAGGTTCGGACCCTCTTGATGGAGGTAAAACCCTACTCCTGCTTGATTAATATTGATGATATGGGTAGTACAAGAGTAGATCTACCACGAGATCAAAGAGGCTAAACCCTAGAAGCTAGCCTATGGTATGATTATTGTTCGTCCTCCGGACTAAAACCCTCCGGTTTATATAGACAACGGAGAGGGCTAGGGTTACACAGAGTCGGTTACAATGGGAGGAGATCTACATATCCGTATCACCAAGCTTGCCTTCCACACCAAGGAATGTCCCATCCGGACACGGGACGAAGTCTTCAATCTTGTATCTTCATAGTCCAGGAGTCCGACCAAAGGTCATAGTCCGGTCATCCGGACACCCCCTAATCCGGGACTCCCTCAGCTAGGGTTTACATGGAGTTGGTTACAAGAAAGGAAATATAATATCCGGATCGCCAAGCTTGTCTTCCACGCAAAGGAGAGTCCCATCCGGACATGGGCCGGAGTCTTGAGTTTTGTATCTTCATGCTTCAATAGTCCGGACGTTGTATACAGTCCGGATGCCCGAATACCCCCTAATCTAGGACTCCCTCAGTAGCCCCTGAACCAGGCTTCAATGACGATGAGTCCAGCGTGCAGTCTTGTCTTCGGCATTGCAAGGCGGGTTCCCTCTCCGAGTACTCCAAGGTAATTATCGAACACGTAGACCGTGTCCGGATCTGCAAAATGATCTTCATATACCACCGTAGAGAGAATGCTACTTCAGTTGACAACTTTTTAGACGACGTGATTATGTCATTATAGTCGGGTCATTATTCGAACCGTTTTCCAACAACCAGCCATAGCGCGTATTGCGAGGCGGTTTCCTTGACACGCCTTGTCAAAGCAGAGATCGTGTCCCCTTATCACGGGATTCTCATCAATACGGGTATGGGTAATCCCACCGCGCCATCAATCGTGGCGCTTGGGAAGTAAGCGATTCTCAACGGGCAAGTGAGGAGGCGCACCACTTTCGTCGCCTCTATAAAGGGATAAAGGACCCTCATTTTCACCCACGCCCTCCTCCTCCTTTGCTAATCCTTACCTCCCCGAGCTCCAGCGCCCTAGTCCAAGTCTTCTCCGCACAACTAAACATGTCCGGAGCAGGAGGCAAGTGGGTGGCCTCCACCGTGAAGGAGAAGCACATCGCGAATCTTCGAGCGGCCGGATACTTGGCCACAGACATAGCGCACCGGCTACCGGACGACGGGCAGACCACTCGAACTCCGGGACCCCACGAGAGGGTCGTGTTTCTCGCCCACTTCGTCCGTGGACTGGGGTTTCCACTTCACCCCTTCGTCCGCGGGCTCATGTTCTACTACGAGCTAGATTTCCATGATCTAGCCCCAAACTTCGTCCTCAACATCTCGGCGTTCATCGTCGTATGCGAGGCCTTCCTCCACATCAAGCCTCATTTCAGCTTGTGGCTGCAAATCTTCTGCGTGAAGCCGAAGATCATGAGCGGCTAGCAAGCCGAGTGCGGAGGAGCCATGGTGGGCAAGATGCCTAACGTCACCTGGCTCGATGGATCCTTTGCGGAAACCGTGAAGGGGTGGCAATTGGGGTAGTTCTACATCACCGAGCCGCGTGGCGCCAACTGGGCGGCGGCCCCCGAGTTCAGATCCGGAACCCCCATGCGTCTCACCTCCTGGGAAAAGAAGGGCCTGTCCTGGGGCGAGTCTACAAAGCTGACCGGGCTCCAAAACTACATCAAGAGCATGAAAGACAAGAACATCAAACTTGTCAATGTGATCCAGGTCATGCTCGTTCGCCGGATTCTGCCGTGCCAAAGTCGGGCATTCAATCTGTGGGAGTTCGTTTCGGCCGAACACCAGACGCTTTAGAGGCTCTACGACATGAAGCACAAAGATGCGTGGAAGGTGTTGTTCAAGGCCTCCGAAGTACCTCCTCCCACATCCGAGGACCGTGGGCTCCACGCCGCGTGACCTCCTAGTCCGGTGAGTTTTCAGGCTACCACCGGATTCAGTTTTTCCCAATATATTCATGAGGAAGCCTCAAGTAATGGTGCATATTTGTTCAGGATTACGTGGAGATAGCGGAGTAGATTGAATGTCCGGCTCCGCTGCCAGAAAACCCGGCTGATGCTCTCCTGACGGAGATGCTGGTCCCGGCGCCCTACAAGGTGCTGGAGAAGAAGGCCGGAAAGAAGGCCCCGGGGATCCGAAAAGGTCTCCAGCATAAGGTCGTGCCGAAAGCCTCGTCCGAAGACGACGAGGCACACTCCTCCCCCGAAGGGGAAGAAGAAGAAGAAGAGGAGGCCGCCCCATCCGGAGAGGACGGGGGGCCTGAGAGGGCGGACCAGGGGGCCAGGAGAGGCCCTCGGCGCAAGGTCGTCATACCCTCGTCGTCCGATGACGACGAGGCAGATTCCTCCCGCGGAGGCGGGGGAAAACAAGAAGAAACTCCACCTCCCCGTATTAGGGGGGAGAAAAAGAGGAAGGCCCCCCGGAGGGGGAGGCTGGGACATCCAAGAAGGGAAAGGCGTCCCTTCCGGACTACTCCACCACCGCCGTCGTTAGCGAGGAGGGGTGGCTACCCAGGAAGAAGCCCTTAGTGTGATCGTAAGTATCCGCACTCTATCGTAATTTTGCTTCATAGTTTTGTTATAACGCCGAACTTGTATGTAGTCCGGCCAGGGTCCATCCCGAGGTATCTTCTTCGGATGGATCCCTGAGCGATTCGGCGATGAACTCGCTCCCGACGACCACTACTCCTCAGCCTGCAGATGACACAGAGGTGTTGTCCCAAAGGCTCCTAGAGCGGGGGGAGGTGGCTCTGGAGGCGCCCCAAGGCGGCATTCCAGACGTCGGACACGCGGGGTTCAAGATCCCCGCGGATCGTGTCAGTGAGAGCCACAGTAGGCCGGGCTCTCAACTGAACACTGTTCCAGAGCCTTCAATGGTTCCGGACTCAGGCGGGCAGCCCCTCGTTAGGGAGGGAGAGCCGTCTATGTCGAGGACTTCCATTGCGCCCGAGGCGCCGGATTGTCTGCTAGAAGCGCTTCGCGGCGCTTCCATGGATGAAGAGCACCATACTCTTATGAGTGCGGTGATTCAGAAGGTTTTGTCCGCCAAGAGCGGACTAACCGAAGCTTGCACCAGCCTCCTAACAGGCTTTGAGGTAAGTAATAAAAATGTGTGAAATTACCACCCGATAGGTAGTAGCCCCTGATACTCTATTTGGTGTTCAGAAAGAAAAACTAAATGGATGGTCAATTATAATCCGCGGGAGTCTAACAATAAGTTTGAATGTGCATAAGCAGGCTGTGCTGCTTGCCGCTGCTGTCCGTACGGCCGAGGTTGCCGGACTAAAACAGGACTTGGAGCAGGAGCAGGGAGAGCTCGACCTCACGAGGAGGCAGCTCGAAGAGAACAAAGATGAGCGATTCCCCGCTCTCATATAATGAAGGATATATAAAATTAGTTATTCTAATGATGAAACATCGTGATTTTGTAACAGGGGCCACCACCGGAGTGGCGTCTCTGAAGAAAGCGTTATTCGAGGCCGAACACAAGGCGGCCTTGGAACACACAGAGCGCGGGAAGCAAGATGCCCGAGTGGGCGAGGTACAACAGGAGCTCCGGGAGCTCGGCAAAAAGTTCGAGTCCGTGGAGCATGAGCTTAAGGAGAAAGAGGCCGAGCTTGCGAAGGCCCTTGCAAGTATAAAAGACGCCAAGGCCGAAGCCGAGAAGGCACACCAGGAAATCCAGGAGGC